AGGGCTGAGCACGGTTCTGTTCGGTTCGGAGATATCAAAATCTCCAGAACCGAACCGAACTTCGGAGATTCCAATATTTGGGTCTCCGGAACCGAACCGGTTCCAAAAAATCTCCGTTCCGAACCGGACCGAAGTTCGGTTCGGTTCGGTTCGGATATTCGGGTCTAATGGGTCGGTTCGGTATGGTTCGGATATTCGGAGATTTTGGAGATTTTTAGTTGCAAATTATAAAACAAGCCCAACACTAAACTAACAATAGAAATACAAGATCCAACACATAAACAATTCCAACAAACTCCATTAGCAAGATAAAAACTAGCAAAACTAAATTACAATTCCAAATATAAGATCCAAATGAACAAAATGGTGTCATACAAGTCCCACCAAATTCCCAAGCAAAAAAAAACCATCATATTCTTCATCGATCACGAACCCCGTGCAAACAACTTCTACTCCAATATTCATCCACCTTCCATTGTTCCACAATTAGAGGCTTCAGCAAAAGACTAGAACATATGAGTAAATATTAAAGAAAACAGGAAAAACATTAGTATATGGCTATATGCAATGTAAAACACCTAAATTTCAGTAATCCTATTAAAGAGAAAAATAAAAAACAGTAATGATCATCATATATTGACAATTTGACAACACCAGGTCCTTTCAAGCTCTAATCTTCTAGTTGAACAAAACACCTAAATTTCAAAAGCCAGCTCCAAATTAAGTACCACAAAACCAAAAATTCAAATGATCGATAGGAGTGATAGACATAACACATTAACACTAGCAATAGCTAAACACTAGTGAAAGAGAAATGTTAAAATTGAGTATATGATGAGATTGTAACAGAAATATTAAAATTGAAGGGATTCATGTCACTCCAAGTCCTTTCTCCATGTCTTCTCTCCAGGAGATGAACACTCGGCAAGTGTTCATCAAAACCTCATTACCATATTACTCCAGGAGATTAGTGTTCAGACACTCAGCAAATCCTCATTAGCATATTACTATTTTCCCATATGCAACCAAATCACATTAGAAGATATAATCATAAAGATATCGATAACTACAGTTTTCAGTGATATGTTTGAGTATAATCATAATCCTTCAACAGGGGATTCCTCCTTTGGTGAAGATAATACTTGGACATGTGTGTTTTTGAGTTTTTCATACTACACAACATTTCAGAATACTTTAGGAGTAAAGGATAATAGCAGTGCAAGAAGCCAACCAATAAAGTATAATAGCAGGAACTGGAAGGTAACTAAAGTAACTAGTCTGGCTTAGTAGTTAGTATAATGATCTCATGTTGCTGTATAATTATTCAATTTAGTTCTGCCACTTCTTTTGAAGGGCCAAAAGCTATCAACCAGAAGAGAAAAAAATAAAACACGAAAAATATAAATTATAATTTATAAACAACAAGCTGAATAATAGCAGAACAAAATTCAAATTAGGATGACATGAGCAAATACCTCTATGACTCATTGCCTCTATTAGTCAAATATCCAAAGATGTCCGTGAAAGTAAGCTTCCCTTAATATCCGAATCTTGCATTGCATCTGTAAACAAAATTATATCATACATCAAAAAGAATAAAAGGAAAAAAAATTGAATTTTAATGAATGTAAAACAAATAGAATTTAGAACTATAAATGAAGTAACATAAGTTAATGTAAAGCAACTAAAGTTGTTAAATGTTTTGCATACCCGTCTCAAGATTCTCAAGATCTTCTATAACTTCTTCCACTTCTTTTGGCGACTTGGCATTTCTTAGCCAATCTTGGCAGCAAATAAGCACTTCGGCTGTAGTAGGAGTTAAAGAACTCCTAAAGCGATCCAAAGTTCTACCACCAGTGCTAAAAGCAGATTCAGATGCCACGGTTGATGATTGAATGCCCGAAACATCCCTGGCAACACAACTTAAATTGGGATACCTAACCGAATTAACTTTCCACCAAACCAAAATATCAAAATCAGGTCTGTACTTTTCAGAAAACTCCTCTAAATACCGATCAAATTCATCTTTAGTAGCTGCCTTTTGTTGGTTTTCTTCTTCCAGAAAGAAATCATCAACATCATCATCAATGTGAGTGTTCTCTTCAACCCTTTTAGACTCACCCTTGTCATTCACTCCATCACATTTTTCATTCAAGGTGCTGTAATCATTAATCAAACTTTTCACAGATAGAGTTACTTTATCCACCAATTCATCAGCTTCTCTTTCACTATAGTGGAATGCATATTTGACCCTCAAATACTTCATCTTATATCTAGGATCAAGTACCACAGCAATGAAAAGCATCAAGTTTATTTTGTTGATAGATCCCCAGTATTTATCAAACTTTTTCCTCATTTGTTTTCCCATTTCCATCAAACACATATCGCTACTTTTCTCAAAATTTTCAATTTCCTTCAAAGTGCGAATGATTTCAGGAAAATACATGTTTGATGTTGCATACAATGTTCCTGATAATTTGCACGTAACATCATAAAATCGCTTCAGAAATTTTGTGAAATGAGCAACATAATTCCAATCATTCTCACAAGGCAATTGATCACCAAACTCTTTCAAAAACTTCTCATCCAAATCTTCCAACTTATCAAATGCTTTTTGAAACACTAAAGCAATTTCAAGCATCGAATAAGTCGAATTCCACCTTGTAGGACAATCTAATATCAAAGAAGCCTTACTTTTGATTTTTACTTCTTCACAACATTTTTTAAACAAATCTAGCCTTTGCGGGCTAGCCCTTACATACCGCACAACATTCCGAATCTTTGTCACGGAATCACAAGCAAACTCAAGGCCATCTTTAACAGTCAATTGCAAAATATGAGCAAAGCACCTCATGTGAAAAGCTTCCCCACCCAAGACAAAAGCATTTTTTTTCATCAATTTCTTTTTCAATTGTTGGATGGCTGTATCATTGGATGATGCATTATCAACTGTAATGCACATAACTTTATCCAAGCCCCATTCATCCATACAAAAATCAATTGCATTTCCAATGTTTACCCCTTTATGACTCTTAATAACACAAAAATTTAAAATCCGTTTTTGCATTATCCAGTTAGGATCAATGAAATGGGCTGTCAAACACAAGTAATTGACATTTTGTATGCTCGTCCACGTATCGGTAGTCAAAGACACCCTTTGGCAATGAGACTTAAGAAGTGCTTTCAGTTTTTGCTTTTCTTTCACAAACATAGAAAAGCAATCCCTAGCAATAGTAAATCGTGATGGAATAGAAAACCAGGGACAACAAACTTCAATAAACTGTTTAAAACCGTCTCCCTCAACAAACCTAAAAGGATGTTCATCCTTTATAATCATCCTAACAAGTGCTTCCCGTATAACGTCCTTGATCAAATTTCCAACAAGAGAGTTTACCATCCCCAGAATCACTCGCACTTTGAAAATTCAAAACTTTTTGACTTTTATCTTTACGCTTGTGAGCTTCAACTAAATCATTTTTAATTGGGCATTTCGAACAAGTTTCTCTTAGATGTTTCCACAACCCTGAAGTTCCAACTTCACTCTTACAACCATAGTTTTTCTTACAATATTTACATAGTGCCCTCCCAGTTTCATTACCATCTTCATCTTTTAATCTTTCAAAATGATCCCATACCTCAGACCTGTTCTTTTTGGCTACAGGTAAGGAAGAGGGGACTTCAATTTCATCTGTATTCGAACCAATCGTACGTGATGGACTTGGACTTAGAGCGCTTGACATCGACGACAATTGATTTTTTGTGGAATCAGATTTCCTTTTACTCGTACCTACAAAATATTGAAATAAACATTACGATAAAAAAAAGTAAAGTAAATGTATTTTTTTTTATATGTTTCTTACCACTTCTAGTTGATGATAAATCTATCACTTTTTGAGCTTTTGGAGCCATTGAATGAATCTGAAATGAAGAAAAAGAACTCATTCAGCATTCAGTAATCAAAGACAAAATGCATCAACAGATCAACACATATCAATTATTAACATATACCTGCTCAGCCTTACTAAATACTAACACTCACAAGAATTCAAATAAATTGAACTCTTTCATCTAATTTCTCAGTCCCATTCAGTTATCCTCAGTTCCTCACCAACGCCAATACGCCATATAAAATCAACTAATCAACTCAAGAGACCGAAAATGAGAAGCAGATGGCTCAAGCCATAAAACCCCTAATTTGAGAGTACCACTACGAGAGGCTTAATTTTCCCACAAATCCCAGCATAATTTCATCAAGCATACATATCAACCAAGACAATAAACCGGGAAAAACACATCAAGGAAATTTGTGAGTACCACTACGAGAGGCGTCGGGCGACGGGAGGGTCGATGTTGACTTCTTCGCTGGTCAGCAAGACGAGGCCGCGGGTCAGGCAGTACCAGGGACGTCGAGCGGATGCGGTTGCGGTGGTTCGCAGCGGGTCTGTGGTGGTTGGCGTATTTGAGAGAGAGAGAGAGATGGCAGGTGGAGGAGGATCGACGTTGATTTTTGAGAGAGGGAGGGATGGGCGGCGGAGGAATTTCAGATGAGCTGGTTAGGGTTGTGAACTTAGTTGTTGTGAACTTGTGAGTTGTGATACTTTTGTGTAAAGTGATTTTATAAATATTTGTGTAAAGTGATTGTGAACTTGTGAATTGTGATACTAAATAGTTGTGAACTTAGTTATTTTATAAATATTTGTGTAAAGTGATTATCATAAATATTTTCTCACTAATACTTATAATTGAATATTTATTTATGTTTTATTAAAAAATTTATTGAAAAAAACTAATTATAATGGTAGTATGGTACAAAGTGCAAACTTTTTAAATTTTAAAAGATATTTCATCAATTAATAATAAGTATAGGTGGTTTAAACTTAAAATCTTTTTAATTCATAAAAATAGTGATAAATATATTTTAATTGCCAAATATCATTAATTCAAAACATAATTTAATTTGAAAGATTTCTATGCAAATCATTTTTATACCAAAAAATTTGACTAATAATGATACATACCCATGAGCAATAATTATTTTTATTTTTGAAGATAATTACTTGTTAAATAAAAGAGCAATTTGGAAATATATTTTTTTCATATAGATTATTATCTTTCAAGTTTCGATAATCGATATCATGACATACATAAACATATATGATATATGCCATATAATATCCAATTATATATAAAGTATGTTTTAAAATAACGAGGATATTTAATCTGATTAAGTTATAATTTATTAAATATTGATTTTATAATGAAATAATTAGTGATATAGTATAACTAGAGGCATATTTGCAATTCAATTTTAAATATAATTTATGATAAATTTATGGACAATTGGAGATAATGCATATGATTTTTTTTTTTTTTTGCTATTCAATTTTAAATACAATTGTGTACAAAGAAAAATAAAGTAAAAGATAAAATATAATATGTAATATATATATTTATATATGAAATATGGATTTTATGAATTGAAATCGGTTCTTGTTCGGTTCTTTGGTTCGGTACGGTTATTTTCGGTTCGGTTCGGTTCGGTCCGGTTCTCGGTACGGATATTTTATGAATCTCCAGAACCGTACCAAATAAAATTTCGGTACGGTTCGGTTCGGAGATAGTCAAACGGTCAACGGATATTTTTCGGTTCGGGGTGAATTCGGTTCGATTTTCGGTACGGTTCGGTAATCTCCAAGACCCGTGCTCAGCCCTATATTAAATTGTATGATTTTTAAAGAAAAAAATAAGAAAAATAATAAAACTACTATTTATGATAGCATTAAATGATAACCTATTTTTTTGTTACTAATTTTAGTAAATAAGATGAATTTTTATATAAGTATAGATTTAAGTCAGACAAATAACTTGGACTTAAATCATGCTATTTTCTTAATTCTATTCATATTTTTAATCCTGTAGGCTAGTCTACAACCTGTGGACTATTTATAGAATAAATAAAAAATAATAATAATCATAATTGACCAAAACAAACAGCATAATTGAGATTATTTTATTTTAATATTCAAAGCTTGATCTAAAAAATTTATCCAGAACTTTGAATTTTTCATTAATATCTTATTCTTACCAAAAAAAAAAAAAAAAAAAAAAATCAAAACTTTTGATTTGGGCTGATAAATCCAAATATCTTTTCGAATTGGATAAGACTATAAGATCGCCTAATCCTAATTATTGAAGTTAAATTCCAAAAACTCAATTATGCCCTAAGCTCCCCTAGTTTTTGACCAAACTTATTAGCTTTAGGTACACTTTCTACTTGACAAGCAATAACATTACCACAAATGCTCCCCTATTCACGGTGGGCATATGTTAATATGCCCACTGCGTAGGTGGCATGCATTCATTGGTGATGTGAATATGTTCAAAAAAATACATCACCAATGTGTGCATACCACCTACGCGGTGGACATATTAACATGTGCCCACGGTGGTTAGGTGAACATTTCTCTAGCATTACCAACAAATCTATATATGGAGCTAGTAATAATACCTTTATAATTTTTTCGCTCATTTATTCAATTAATGTAGAAACGTTATATTTACATTAATAAAGTGTAATAACAATTTTAAACTAAATGATTATAATATTACTATTAACACTAATTGATTATAATTTTACATTGAATAGTAAGTTACATACTTATAAAAAATTGTATTGCAATTTTTTTTTTTTAAAATACTTTTTCTAAAATAAAATATTTTTGGTATTTTTAAGCGGTTTTTATCTAATATTAGTTGATTGACATGAGTGTCATAACTAAACACTTTAAAATCATTGAGACAATTGATATAACAATGATAAAATAAAAAATTGCAGTACTTCTCTAAGTAATTAAATATATGGTCCCTCTATATCACTAAATTATATTGTCCATTAAAATTTATGACATCAAATAATTTGTATTTACATTACACATTTGCATATAGTTAAAATTTAAAATATAATACATCCATTATTTAATTGAAAATTTTATGTATTGCATGCATACATATAATATATAATATTTTTTTTCCATGTGCACAGGATAAATACTAGTAATAATTTAAAGATGATTTTTTTTAAAATTAATATTATCTATTATATAGAAATAATTGAAAAATTTTACTAAAATAATTCTCAATATATTTTTTAGAATGTTCTATAAAATATCGACTGATCAACTAATGATATTACGCAATAGCAATGAGTCGAGTCGAGTTCGAACTCGTGATATGCTCGAACTCGGCTTGTTAACTTAACAAGCTAATAAATAAGTTGGGGAATTTGAGTTTGAGTTGAGTTGTGTTGTAATGAATTGAATTATGTCAAATTTTTTTTTTTTAAAAATAAGTAAAACTTTTGTATACAAGTAAAAAAAAATGTTATGTCTATATAGATTTTTTATTTATTATTTATTTACAGAGCCAACACAAAGAAGGGAATCGCGTGTGTATATATGAACCCGAGTCCATGGGCAGTAAAAACCAAGCATTTTGGCTTCTCAAGTCAAACTCCACGAAAAAAGGCTCACCCAAAATTCGGAGAAAACTAATTTGAAGAAGGAAAAATAGAGGAAGAATTCCGTAAATCCTGCGATTGTTTCGCCATTTTTCCGGCGATCGTGGGGGTTTGATGATCGACAGAAGCGCGGCAGGCGAGTCGGACTGTGCGGTGGTGCACGACGGCGGTGGAGCGGAATCGGACCTTGCCGGCGGCTCGGAGACGGCTGGTAAAGGCTGAGATAGGGGAGGTTTAAGGATAGTGTGTTCTGTTTGATGTATCTGATGCTTTTTTTCTAAAAAGAAAAATTGAAAAAAAAAATGAGGAAAGGTAAGGGGAAAAACAGCAAGTTGCTGCCAAATTCGTTGCGGATAATTTCGTCTTGTATCAGGACGGTGTCGACGAACGCTAGCACCGCCGTGCGCTCTGCTAGTGCGTCGGTCGCCGCCTCCATTTCATCCTCCGGAGACGATCGGAAAGAGCAGGTTGGAATGTCTGGCTCCCTTATCTAGTTTCCACGGTCGTTTCTTTCTTTGGATTGAACTCGAGCTGACATTTTCCAGTTCGTTGATTTTTGGTTTACTGTATAATCAGAATGGTACCTTCCAAATCGTATTTCACAAACCATCGTATGATTTGAAATGTTTCTGGGAGTGTATCATTTCATATTTTCGGAATAGTTTACTCTGTTGCTGTGGTTGAAGCTGGTTTGATTCGACAGTATTCTGCTTAGTGATTTGGTGTTATTAATGGAAATGAAAGCAGCTAGCGTGTGAAAATTGTCAAGTTGTTCATAGTACTTGATCATTTTAATTATTGGAATAGTTATTTTTTACTTTGTAACTAATGTGTTTTTAATCATTTAACATAATTGATTGCATTGGTATTCTCAATTACACATTATTGTCGAATTGTTTGTTCATTTTTGCAACCTGGAAGAATTATGTGAAGGTTTAGTGCAATTAGAATAACATTTCTAGATATTTTCAGTGTTTAATGTTCTCGATTTACTAGAAGTACTCTACAGATGAAACCTAATGCCAAAATTTCATTACGAGTTGTAAACTTCAAAGATCATGATGATGCTTATCCTTTGCAATTTCATATATAAGGGGTGAAGTTTTAGCTGCATTTTCTCTAACTTTTGAACTTATATATTCTGATGTATTATCATTGTTGTATTTATTAGTACAAGGGGATTTTTTTAGATTGAATTGTAATGTATGCTTAATTTCTTCTATTAATTGTCTAATACTTTCCGGAAATGAAGGAGTCTAATTTCCAGATAAATTTGTACATGAATAACTAAAATCTGAATAGGTCTTATTTCTAAACTTCAGATGTTGCCTATGAATTATATATGTTGATTCCTTGATTATCAAGTTCCCACTTTATGCATATTTTCTGACTAACCATTGTATATCAGTATGCTCTGGGTATTTGTTTCTGTTATTTTACACCAGCAGGCAAACTGTATATGTTAAACAAGTGTAATCTAGAAGATGGCTTTCTATACTTGAGATACGCCAGGCGAAATATCATTTATGATTTTCGTTATGTAGCATAAGCTTCATGCATTCATACCGATTTACGAATGGTTGCAGTGCTGATTTGACCAAAACATGCTGTTGGTTCAGGTTCTTATATTGTTGATATACATTTGAATTTGATTTATCAGGTATTATGGGCTGGCTTTGACAAAGTAGAGCTTGGTTCATCTGCCTTCAGGCGTGTCCTATTACTTGGTTATCTAAAGGGTTTCCAGGTCTTTGATGTTGAGGATGCTTCTGGTTTAAGTGAACTCGTGTCCAGACGTGATGGACCAGTTACATTCTTACAGATGCTTCCATCTCCAGCAGATTGTGATGGTTCTAGAAAGTACAAATTGCCATATCCTATACTGGTGGTGATTGGAGGGAACGAGGACGAAAGAATCACCTCGTTCCAATATACTGGCCAAGGGCCTGCTAGATATTCACCAGAGTCATCAAGTGGGAATTTTTTGGATCCCCCTCTTTCTGTTCGATTTTACTCGATGAGAACAAACGAATATGTAAAGGTTATTGATTTCAAGTCACCAGTGCTTATGGTTAGATGCAGCCCTCGAGTAGTGGCTATTGGTCTTGAAGAACAAGTAAGTACCAATTGAGATGAAAATAATTGGTGTGAAGTCTTTAATATTACAGTTGGTAGGAGGAACGTAAAGGAGAAAGAATCAAGCAGCTATTATTCGTATGGACCTCCTTTAACATAATACGACACAACAAATTAGTGAGTCAAGTATATATACTTGATCTGTATTATCTATCTATTATTCATCCTTATTCTAAGTTGCAACTTTTCCTATCTCTTTCCGGTATCTTCTTCATTTTGTTTTCCGTTGACAAGTGTGGCATTGGCATTTTAAGTTTTGGTATTATCTTTTAAGTCGGCCTACCTTCAAGTAAATGAAACAAGTACTGAAATTACCAACCAGATCGTTTTCTTATGTTTAGGTTCACATTTCAAATGTTAGAATGAGAATCCTTGCAGATAAGATGAGAGTGATAATTGGTTTCATATGTGTTAAGCAGATGGTTAATATGTAATTTCTTTATTTATTTGTTGAGCAGATTTACTGCTTCGATACCCTTACTCTTGAGAAAAAGTTCATCGTTGTGACCTATCCTGTGCCTCGTGTCGGAGATCAAGGTGGATTTGGAATCAACACAGGTTATGGTCCTATGGCTGTGGGATCGAGGTGGCTGGCATATCCTCCTAATCGTCCATTTCTGTTAAACACGGGTCGGGTGAGCCCGAAGACCCTTGCCTCTAGTGTTAGCCCGTCAACATCCCCAGGCAGTAGCTCAGTGATGGCTCGGTATGCCGTTGAATCCAGCAGAAACTTAGCAGCTGGGTTACTGACGCTGGGGGACATAGGATACAAGAAATTATCAAAGTACTATCCGGAGTTGCTTCCTGACAGTCCTAGCTCTCCCGGATGGAAAGCTGGGAAGCTAGCAGCATCTGAACCAGAGAATGCTGGTGTGGTACGTGAAAATTAGGATAATTCATCTATATAATTATTGGTTTCTCTGTTGAGACTTGAGAAAGATGCCCTGATTTGAGAGTTTCTAATTTGAGTATGCTTACGGATAGATTATTTAGTAACTTTGTCAGAAAATCATTTTCTTTGGTCATTTTTTGTCAACTACAGATTGTTGTAAAGGACCTCATTTCCTTGGAGATTGTATCACAATTCAGGGCTCATACGAGTCCAATATCTGCTCTATGTTTCGACCCAAGTGGGACCTTGTTGGTTACTGCCTCCATACATGGAAATAACATAAATATATTCCGTATCATGCCGTGTAATAAATGCGGTGGGTCTGGCTCTGGTGACTGGAGCACTTCGTATGTGCATCTTTACAAGCTCTATCGTGGTATAACCAGTGCTGTAAGTACATATGTGCGCTGTGCTTTTTTGTTGTTGTTATTATTATTGTTCTGTAATACCATCACGTCTAAGAATGTCCAAACATTCTTGAATTCATCAGGTTATCCAAGATATCTGCTTCAGCCATTATAGCCAGTGGATTGCGATTGTATCAACCAGGGGAACTTGCCATATCTTTGTTCTGTCCCCCTTTGGTGGTGATGATGGCTTTCAAACACTTTATACTCCTGGCCGGGGTACCTCTCTGTGTCTAGCCTCCACCACACCATGGTGGTCCACTTCTTCTTTTGCAATAAACGAGCAACACCCTTTGCCGCCGCCTACTTGCACCCCCTCTGTTGTGAGCAGGATAAAATGCAACGACTCTGGTCTGCTTAATTCAGTGAGCAATGCTGCAGCTTCAATGGTGGGTAAGTTGTGGGTCCCGTCTGGAGCCATTGCTGCAGTTTTCCACAATACTAACTCAGCTGATGTTAAGTCCATCAAGAGCTCATTGGAACACATCTTAGTCTATACTCCATCAGGCTTTGTGGTTCAGCATGAAATTATGTATTCTTTAGTGGGGCCTGAACAGACTGAGAGCCAGGGTGAATACTTGTCGTCGGCCAACCCACAAAGTGAGGAGTTGAGGGTGAAAGTAGAGCCCGTGCAGTGGTGGGATGTGTGCAGGAGAATGGATAATATGGAGAGAGAGGAGTGTATTTCTGGTAGTATTTTGGATGTAAAAATTGATGCCGAGATTGAGGACGAGACCAAAATGGTTTTCGGGGATAATTCGATTTCTGGGGATAAGAAGTTGGTTAAGAATAACTCACTGAAGTGCGCTGATAAGTCACACTGGTACCTGTCAAATGCTGAAGTGCAGATCAACTCCTGCAGATTACCGATTTGGCAAAAGTCGAAGGTATTTTTTGCTTAAACTTGTCGATTTCCTTTTTTAGTTGGGATTGCTTTATTTAAACCAAGCTGCTGGTTTGATTCAGATGCATTTTCATGTGATGGAACCTCCTAGTGGTGAGTGTTATTCCGATGGGGAGTTTGAGATTGAGATGGTTTTTTCGCATGAAATTGAGATGAAGCACAAGGATTTGTTGCCAATATTCGACAACTTCCCTAGAGCAAGATCTGGCTGGACCGAGCGGTGAATATCTTACTTCTGCCTTTTATTTTGAAATCATTTTGTTATTCATTATTTGTTCTTAAAGATTGTTCAAAGTGTGATAGGGGAATGAATGTATGCTAAAGCTGATGTCATCTGAATTAAGCAAGCAATCTATCAAACTATTTTTGCAGAGTTCAATCTCGTATCATATAGTTAGAAAAATGTTACCACCATTTATTTATTTTGTTTCGACCTCAAGCAGTCAGTTGAGTGGTTCATTTTCTGCACACTGCTGCCTAATATTCGTTGGAAAGTGTATAGGCACATTAAAGTGGTATTGCTGCTAGTGCTGAATTCTAGTTTGTTACTCCTCATCTTAACTCGAGATGCATGCCATTTTCCATGTTGGTCGTTTGGTTGGCTGGCATATAACTTATATTATATATTAAGCGTTTTTTTTTTTTACTTTTTATGTCTTCCGATTTGCATATTGCTTGGTGTTTTTTCAGATCTATACCTTCTGAAGGTAAAAATACTAGTTCAACCATTAGATGTCAAGCTCGAGAAAAAACCAACGAAGCCAGTATTTTATGTCATTCAAAGCCACCGTCATTTAGTTCGACTGAAAGCTCAGAAGGAGGTAATACATTTTAACCTCAAGAATTCTCTTTCTATATATTTCCATGAAATGATTGAGGTTCTTAGTTGTTCTTGTTATGAGCATGTTGAGTTGCTTCAGAGACTTGAGAATTACTATAGATAACTTGCATAAACAAACCAGGCTTAAAAAAAAAAATGAAATATTCTTCATTGTAAAAATGTTTGTATTTTGTTTTATTCTGCCTAATGTTTGCCCAAGTTCGCTCTTGCTCAACTGGTATCAGTTCTTAAACATTTTTTTTTGACCAAACTCATTCTTTTTCATCAGGATCATCTAGGCAAATGGAAAATCTGCTCGACTTGGATCACATGAGCATTGTCAGATCTCCAGTACGGCCTGTCCATACCCCGACAGAGTTAAAAGTCACAGCAAGAGACGAGAGCATAAATCTCAAAGTTCCCTTAGCCGACCCAAGATCGAGACCCATTGCCATGCCATTGCCCCCGGAAAACGCTCCCAATGCAAAATTCCTCGTTGACAATGGTGGCATCAGCAGGTCATTCTCACCAGAAAACGAACTCCCACCACTAAATGTTGTCGACAAAACCGACTCTGGTTCGGACGTTCTCATGCCTTTAGAAACCGAGAAAAGAGAAGTAGATTTCGCACAGTTTTTCAAGGAAGGGTACTGTAATAAGCTCGAGTGTGGCGAGTCTGTGAATGATGAAATGAATGATACTGGTGGAAGTAATAATAGCCATCGTGAAGATGACAAAGCCGAAGAGGAAGAAGGGTGGATTGGCGGCATGTTTGATTTCTCTGAAGAAGGTGGGTGTTTTTTTTTTTCTTCATTATTTTGTTTAATTACCAAGAATACCCTTGAGCTTTGGGCTAATTAAAAAATACCCCCGAGCTATCTTTTTGCAACGAGCATTTCTACTTTGCACGTGTGTGAATTGGTTTATCTCGCTAGGCTTATGCTCCGAAAAAGTCCGATCGTTTTCTTTTTGTGGTTGCAGGTTAGATGGCTTCATCTGGCAATGAACATTGCTATTTTGCTCGAAACATGGAAGTTATACGATGTGTGGAGTAAATTGTTATTTCCAATGAAATGTGAGCTATGTTACTGTCACAGCAGGTTGCTACAAATGTAGTGTGTACACTATTGTGAATAGAAGGAAAAAAAATGAAAATTGAAAAAAAAAAAAAATGAATTTTTACTGTAGATGGATATGGTTTTCAAATGTGGTGTTCTGGGTGTTTGATCAATGGAGATCTTGTACATGTTTGGCTAATGACTTGTGGTGTACACTTTCTGTAACGATTTTTTCTACTTAAAAAAAGGACAAAAGGAAAAGAAAAAAAAAATATATTGAAAAAGCAATGGAATCCTAAAATTGTTGATTTTTTAACTTTTTTTTTTCCCCTATTTTATGATGCTATTCTTATGTTCTGTGGTTTATTTTGTCATTTGGTTCTACCTTTTTATCAGCTGTTTTGTGAGAATTGGATTCTAACAAATTCCAGTTCCCCGAGCATACAATGGATGTGGCTAGTAAGGACCGATTCAGGGTCGTCTTTTAGCCCGAAGACCAGACTAGTCGGGCCCGGCCCGGGATTTGGCTATATCTAGTTGATAGGATGCTATTATTTTGTGGTTCAGCCAAAATGGTGCCTACTTATGAACATAGGTTAGTTTGAATCAATCGTGCATGGTCTCTCTCTCTCTCAAGTGAAACGAGCAATTTGTGAGCTTGCTCAGTTCGTTTGATGAACTAAGACCGGTTCATTAAGGCTATATTTGACAACTCTGTCGAAAAGTTAGCTTGTAGATAATATGTTAATTGATAGTTTATAAGTGGATTTCAACCTTGTAATTGATAGTTTATGACTAAAAAACTAGTGGATATAATAAAAGTGTTTGGAAAAAACTAATTGATAATGATGCTCATATCCTTATTGTATATCTCTATCGTAACATATGGATTGATCTAGCTTCGAATAAAATGTTTATTACTAAAAAGGTCTGTCCTACTTGACCAAACTTGTATGAATGTATGAAGCTATAAGGTAACTAAATAAGCTTGTTCTCATGTTTTCTTTAAAAAAAATATTAATTTTATTATTTGGACTTAGGTGTGTCGAACTATTATATGTTGAGATAATTTTATTTTGTAGGTAGTTAAAATAAATAAAGATTAAGGTATCTGATATTGATTTCTAGGCCCCGACTAGGCGCCGCCTAGGCACTCAAGGCGCTAGGCGCTGATCGAGCGCCTAGCGACTTTTAGAACACTGGTTAATCAAGAATCAACTATGGATCGGAAAGATATGATCCTAAAATAAAAATAAATTTTGCGGTAAGAATAGATAATTTTAGGTTTGAATGAGATCGGCCTTTGTGAGTTTCGAGGTCGGACCTTTAGGTTGAGTTGCCTGAATTTACTGCGAATGATTCTTGCGTTTCTTTGCTTGTTCCCAGTTCTTTTCTTATTATGTTGCATGTATTAAACTCGTTGCTCCCTTGCCCACCACAACTGAAACCTAGGACTATATAAAACTAAACATCGCTGGTCATTGCTCTTTTATTATTCACCAAGCCATGTTTCACAGTGATTTGGAATAACAAGCATTAAATGATGCATGATTGATCTTAAATGATGATTATCGGTCATTAAATGCCGATTGACGGACCTTTGATGAGGACATGCCACAGACCGTAGGTTCGCATAGTTGGTGGACATGTCCCATCGACCATCAATGTCTCATCGGCCATCATCATATTGCAAGTAGCATTATTTTATTGTCTTCTGAGACAAAGTGCGCCATGGAGTGTGTCCCCCCAGATCTTAGAGGTCGGATTTTCGCCATGACTTGAAGTTGGATTTTTTCCTTTTCGTCTTGGACTTGGGTTTTCTTCTTGACTTCGAGATTGGACTTTCTTCCTGACTTCGAGCACGGAATTTGCACCTACTAGTCATCCCTATGTTCATCAATTTTTTATGTGTTGGTCGCCTATTGCTGAGGGAGATGGCCGAGCAGAAAGTTATAGGAGCTTTCTCTTCTGAGATTACTTGTTCGCTTAATTATTTTGTTGGGGGATTAAGTCCTGAATATAATTTTGTATAATTTAACTCGTTAATTTTAATAAATGAGCCAAACTCAAGCACAATTTGGCTCGTTTACACCCCGAACTGTCCAATTGTAAGTAGTTTCTTGGGTATTTGGGTTATTTTTTTACTATTTGGTTATTTTTATTAGATAATAGCCGATGAGAATCCCATGCTATTTTTTAGTTAAAAACTAAGTCCATTTGCGCATTGTTTAAAGTAGTTACACGATCCATGTACTTGTCAATAGCAGCTTCTTCTTCTTTTCTTAAATTGCAGATAAAACAAAACCCTAACCCCTTGGCATTCAGCCCAATCCATTTGTTTTCCTGCTTTTGCTTGGGGGCCCAATGGCACACTAACTCCTTGATGGGTCGTTTTCTTTCACTTCCATTTTAGCAGACTCCTTATTTTATATGCTAATTTCCTAATATTGCAATTACAATTTTGTCAAAATACATAA